GAGTGCTGTCTGCAGCTCACGGGAGGGCAGTCTTTGTCTTTGGAACAGCGCTGTGTTCAGCCTTCGTGTTTTTCCTGTGTGTTACACTTCCTTTGTATATTGTTCTTGTAAATTTTCTCTTCTTCAAGAAGAAAAAAAAAACATAAATAGAAATACATATATATATAAAAATATAAATATATACAATTTCACTTGTTTTCACACAAGAATTCCTATACAAGCTTACCATGCTTTCTCATTACAAAATAGCCTTTTTTTCTGTGTTGCACTGTTGAAAAACAGCTAGCAAGCAGGGTTGATCTAAGCAGTACCTTTGTTTTGCTACTTTGTCAGTTTGGGGCATTTTCACATAATGATTAGAGGCCCCAGTGGGCACAGCAATGGAGGAAGCAAGCTTAGAGAAAAGACTTGGAAAGAAACATCATCAAAACCTAAAGTAAATGGTGTGGGAATGTGGCACTGTGCCCCTGCAAAGTTTCTCCCACTGACAAAACTGAGGGATGCCCTGATACTGTGGTAAGTCTTCACATGAAGGAAACAGGCTTGAAAGTTTGTCTCTTCCAGAGAGACAAACCGTGTATGTAGCGTTATTAGTGTCACCAGGAGATTGACTGCCTACCTTCCTGTGGCTTGTCCAAGGAGATTTCCATGTACCCTCATCTAACTCTAAGATAAAGAAGGGACCATCTGTTCTTTTTCCTTCACTCCCTTCTTTATTACAGTCCTTTGTTCTCATGGTCTCAAATCCTAATTCATCCTCCCTGATGTGCTCTGGACTTCGCTGGGTCTATCAGATACCATGTGCTCATCTTGTCATCAGCCTGTTCTGCCCACAGTTGTTTCCTGCTCTTCCCTACTCATTGGCATGCCTATTTCCCCGGTGATGGCATGCAGACCCCATTTTATTGTACAGTCTTTCTTCTGTGCCAGCATACACCAGAAAATACTCCAGAGCATACTCTGGAAAATGTGCTGCTGGCATAGGGAGCAGAAGGTGCACCCAGACCGTATTTATTGCGTTCTTCCTTCTGCATCGATTTTCCTGGCTCTGCTATTTACTTTGCTCATAAAAGGCAGTCCTCAACGATGACACATCCTTATGATGTCACTGCAGAGAAGTAAGGCTATTCTGTGAGCAGCTGTTTTTTTTGCTGGTGACTGTGGACAAGGGTGAATTCTGCCAAAATCTGTTTTACAGTAACGGGGATTTAACAGGGACTTGTTCATTAGCTGTCCCCTTCCTGTCCTCTTTCTCATTTAAAACAAAACAAAACAAAACAAACAAAAAAACAAAAAACAAAAAACAACTGCCCTGATGTTACCACTGGTGAAACCCGAATGTGTGAAAGCCGAGGCTGGGTCTGAATGCAGACAAGGCTGCTGGCCAGTGGGGAAGTTTAGGGAAGAAATACCATGCGGTGGATTGTTTTGTGTGCAGTTTTGGCATTTGTTTGTTCATTTCTTCAGTCCCCAGGGAAAATACTGTAGAAGCCGATAGCAAAAACTGTGTAAACAGAGCTCTGCGATGATATTGTAAACAGTGTCCGCTTTGCCCTTCTTTAGCATCTTCTGCAGACCTGTCTTGTGTGCTGATCTCATACATGTTGCGTATGTGTATATTGTACCATGTACAAAGGGACTGCATACCAAATAGTGACTCATTTTATATCCCAGCTCATATAATGTAGGCTTTGGGTTCCAGTGAGTCATCAGCTCAGATTTATGGCATAGCTGCAGGTTTGTGTAAATAGTCACCATGTTGGGGTGTCAGGACACAATCTCTGGAAGCGTTTCTAACAGACATCTCTGTGTACAGACATCCATAGTGAGGAATGTCACTGTGTGAGCAGGAAAAAGTATCAAGCATCAGTGTTTCAGCTGCTTTGTGTATGATGTTGGAACTGGAAAAAAGGCTCCGAGTGTCACAGAGACAAGTATCCATCTAACTTGCTTGCAGTCTGATTCATCATTATAAACATGTTTGTGTAAATCTTGGTCTTGCTATACATCAGTGCATGTCTTTTCTCTTGCTAGGCTTCACGTTCAGGGTCATGAACGCACCCCTGGCCCTGGACTTGGCCTTTGGCACGCTGTGTGAGCAGCTCCAGCAGTGGGGGCAGACACATGCTGGCATCCCAGTGCTGCTGGGGTGGCTGCTGGGAGACAGCGACCCAAGGGGAGGCCTGCAGACATCCACCCCAGTAAGTGACACCCGCTGCTGTCCCATAGCAGGGCTGCTGTGCTTCTGCAGGCCGTGGTGGGGTGGAACAGAATAGTGGAGTGGACTGATGGTCATTACTCCAATATTAATTGTATTACAATTAAAAATAAAAAATAAATCACATGGACAGTGCTTAGAATAAATAAATAGAGTTTGATGTCAGTGGCCTGGCAATATCAGCATGAAATTAAAAGACCAACAGTGAAATAAATCAAGAGGTACTTAACAAATGGCTGCTGGCTGCAGCTGCAGCTAATTGCACTTAGTGTCATTGCTGCTGATTGCTGGGTTCAGACTGCATGCTCTCCTGCCTCGCTACAGCCTCACTTAGCACTTGCCATGCCACATGGGTCCTTTCCTAATGGCTGTGTTTCCACTTAGGAAGAAGACGAGTGCCTGTTTGACAAAGGGGAAGTGAACTTCTGGGCAGAGAAGCTGACCAGTGCCAGGTTGCTGGGTAAGCACCTGCTGCTGCTCTCCCAGGTGACCCACCTGGCTCTGCCGGATGGAGGAGAGCTTGACCGACTCTCCCAAAGGGCCCAGGACCAAGCCCAGCTCATTGCCCGCCTCCTTACAGCCCTACCTCCAAGTCCAGAATTTTTGAAAACGGCAGAATTCACAAAATTGGCCATTCAGAACGAGCAAATATCACTCTGCCTTAAAATATTGAATTTGCTGCGGTCTGTTGACAAGGGCAAAGATTGAAATCTGAAAAAGTAAATTACCAAAAGTTCCTAAAAAGCTACAAAGTTCTTAAAAGTTCATTCTCAGGGAGCTGTCGGCTCAGCAAGGAGCCAATCCTGAGGGTATCCGTGGAGCTGAGACATGGCCATAATGAGCCCAGGAAGCCTGCCACAAACTGTTCACTATTCATGCTTCCAATGCATTTTCCATCCGTGAGTCCATTCGTTTTTTGTCAGGTGTGCTGCTGGGGACCGTTCCCTTTAAATGCATTTGCTAATTTAATTCGGCTGAGCATGGTTTGTTGTTGCTACTGTAGGAAGTAGAGCAGCTCAGCCTAATATTTTCCATTCAGCCAGGTGCAGGCCACCTGTTAGGGTATGTTTTAGTCCAAGTTTTGACCTCCTGTATTTTAATACCAAGAAAAATTTAGTTTTTTTTTTTTCTTTCTATGTGTGGAATGGTAATTATTAAATGGATAGGTTAAATTTTTAAGTGTTACTTAAATAAACCTTGGCTTCTTTCTTTGCCCTTGACAAGATTTTGACTGTGTTTTAAATGTTACTGCATTCTTCTCTGAACCTCACTTTGCTATTAGCCTTGTAGATGGACCTGCATCAGTTAACGCTTCGCGTGCCCGCATTTTCTGCAAATCGAATGGCCGCTGTTGTGAAACGTTGACGTTTTGCAAACCGCTTTCACTCGATGCGAGTCGAGCAGCGGCGCTGTGTGCGGCGCTTCCCGCGCTGCCGCCGCTCCGGGACAACCGGGAGAGCCGGGCCGGGCCGTGCAGCGCCATGGGCGGCCAGCAGGTGGCAGTAGAGCACCGCCGTGCGCGGCGGCACCGGCGGGCGGGGGCCGCGCGGCCGGAGGTGGGGCGCGAGGCTGTTGTGCTGCGGAGCGGGTTGCGCTTCCAGGCAGGGCTTAGCGGGGGCGCGAGATCGCACCGGGGCTCGAGCGTGAGCGGGAATCCGAGCGCTCGCTGTCAGTTGCAGGGCTCGGGGTGACGTATGTTACTTAAAGCGAAGCGCCCGGTCGCTCAAAGGGCAGAGTTAGCGCCGCGATGAGAGCTGGGCGCCTGTGCCGCGCGCGGTGCCGGGCGGTGGCCGCGAGACGGCAGCTCGCGTTCTGGCAGCTCCGTACGCCCCGAGGACGAGTCGGGTGCACTGGGTGCACCGGTGCCTCACGGCTTGTGTAGCAAGCGCCGCGCTCCCCCCTACTTTATAGGGAGCAAATAAAGGTCTGCCTGGCGGTCTCGTTGCTCGCAGTTACCGCGCACCAGCCGCTCGCAGGACTTTAACCCTTAGCCGGCCCCAGCAGCTCGCTAGGGACAAGCCGGGAGCAGCGGCGCCGGACTCGGGGCAGCACCGCACGCGGGCGGCACGGCCGCACTCCCCGGGGCCGGCAGTGTTACGCGGGGCGGGCGCCAGGGGGCGGCGCGGCGCCGAGCTCAGGTCGGAGGGGCCCTGAGGGGCGCGAAGGGCCGGACCCACCGGCGATGGGTCGGGGGGAGGGGAGGGTGGTACAGGAGCGCGGCGTGGGGCAAAGCCCAACGGGCGGCCGAGGAACGCACCCACCCCCAGCCCAGCGCTCGCAAACGCGCTCTGACAGCGCGCGCTTCCTGCTGACGTGGGAAGTTTGCAGCCGGGCACGGCTCGCAGTAGGGCGACCACCGAGCGCTTGAGCCTTGCGGACGCTAACTTCGCCTCCCGCCCGGCGGCGCGGGGCAGGCGCTGCGCCACTGTCACGGGGCAGCCGCCCGTCCGGGGCTGCGGGGGGGGAGGGGTGCGAGCGGCCCATGGCGCAGCAGCCCGCACCCGCCGCCGCCCCGCGCGCGGCCCTTTGTCCCGCGGCAGTTACGTGGCACGGGTTTATTTTCGGCGGGGCGGGCGGGGGCGGCCCCTTCCCGCGGGGCCCGTGCCGCCATGGCCGCCGCCGGGCCGCTCGGTTCGGGGCGGGGCGGGGGCCGGAGCGGGGCGGGGGGGAGCGGGGCCCGCCCCTGCGGGCCGCGGCGGCGGCGTTTATATGGAGGCGGCGCGGGGCGCCGCGGAGTTCCCGCAGGTCGCTCGCTGCTGTGCAGCCGCCGTCGCCGCCTCGGCCCGGCACCCGCCGTCCCGCCCGCCCCGCCGGGAAGGAGCCGGGACCGTCTCGGCTCCGAAGCACGCGGCCCCCTCCCGTCTCGTCGTGGCTTTTCCAAACCCTCCGAGGAGAGCGGGATCGTTCGGTCCTTCCTGTATTTCCGACCATTACAGGATCTAGAGATGTCTACGACGCTGTTATCTGCCTTCTACGACATCGACTTCTTGTGCAAGGTAAGGGGGGCGCGGGGCGCCGGGGGGTGCCGTGTTCGGGGCCGGGGCTCCTCCGCCCGACTTCGGCGGAGCGGCGGCGCGGGCTCGGCGCGGTCCCGCTGCAACCCGCTCTTTTTCTTCCGTCCCGCCGCCCCGCAGACGGAGAAGTCGCTGACCAACCTCAGCAGCATGCTGGACAAGAAGGCCGTGGGCACCCCGGTCACCTCCTCCGGCTCCAGCTTCGCGCCGGGCTTCCTGCGGCGGCACTCGACCAGCAACCTGCCGGCCCTGGCCGCCGGCACCAAGTTCCCCAGCCCCACCGGCTCCAGCTCGTCCTCCTCCTCCTCGTCCTCCTCCTCCTCCTCGTTCGGCGGCCTGAAGGAGCCGGGCTCCGGCGGCGGGGGCGGCGGCGGCGGCAGCCCCACGGCCCTGCTGAACAAGGAGAACAAGTTCCGGGACCGCTCCTTCAGCGAGAACGGCGAGCGCAGCCAGCACCTGATGCAGCAGCTCCAGCAGCAGCAGGCGGCGGCCGGCACGGGGGGCGGCTCGGGGGGCGGCGGGGCGCCCATCAACTCCACGCGCTACAAGACGGAGCTGTGCCGCCCCTTCGAGGAGAGCGGCGCCTGCAAGTACGGCGAGAAGTGCCAGTTCGCCCACGGCTTCCACGAGCTGCGCAGTCTCACCCGCCACCCCAAGTACAAGACCGAGCTCTGCCGCACCTTCCACACGATCGGCTTCTGCCCCTACGGCCCGCGCTGCCACTTCATCCACAACGCCGACGAGCGCCGCCCGGCGCCCGGCGGGGGCACGGCCGCCGCCCCCCCGCCCTCGGCCGCCGCGCCGCACCAGCACCACCACCACCACCACCACGCGGCCCCGCACCCCGCCGGCAGCACCGGCGACCTCCGCGCCTTCGCGCCCCGCGAGCACCCGCTGGGCGGCGGCTTCGGGCACCCGCGTGGCGGCGGCGGCGGCGGCGGGGAGCGGCCCAAGCTGCACCACAGCCTCAGCTTCTCCGGCTTCTCCGCCCACCACCACCACCAACACCACCCCCCGCACCCGCACGGCGCCGCCCCGCCGCCGCCGCAGCCCGGCGGCCGCTTGGAGGCCGCGCTGCTGGAGAGCCCCGGCGGCTCCCGCACGCCACCGCCGCCCGCCTCCGCCTCGTACTGCGAGGAGCTGCTCTCTCCGCCCTGCGCTAACAACGCCTTCGCCTTCTCGGGCCAGGAGCTGGGCAGCCTGATCGCGCCGCTCGCCCTGCACACGCCCGGCTTCGCCGCCGCGGCCGCCGTGGCCGCCGCCGCCTACTACCGCTGCCAGCAGCAGCAGCCGCCGCCGCCGCCCGGGGGCTGCCCGCCGCCCCCCGCCTCGCCGCCCTTCAGCTTCCAGCCCCTGCGCCGCCTCTCCGAGTCGCCCGTGTTCGACGCGCCGCCCAGCCCGCCGGACTCGCTCTCGGACCGCGAGAGCTACCTGAGCGGCTCGCTCAGCTCCGGCTCGCTCAGCGGCTCCGAGTCGCCCGGCCTGGATTCGGGCCGCCGCCTTCCCATCTTCAGCCGCCTCTCCATCTCCGACGACTGAAGGGTGGAAGGAAGGAAAGAAGGATGGGGCCGCGGGCGGTGGGGCGCGGGGAGCGAGCCGGCCCCCCTCTCTATTTGTCTGTTGTCGTTTGTTTTTGTTTTTTTTATACGCGTAACCTATCGATGTACACACGAGAGCTGAACAAAGCGAAAAGCGTCGTGCGAAAGGGCGACTGACGTGAACTGAACAAACCTATTTTTCTAGAGAGACCTTGGAAGAAGGGGGATTTGTGTTTCGGAGTTGTCCTTCTCGTTCTCCGGAGACGAGTTCTGATCCGCACCAGCAGCACCATTCCATCCGGGAACGCGGCCGGACCCACCGCGAGCTTCTCCAGCGCGAAATCCAACATCCTGCCAAGAATATGCCTTGATAACAACCTTCTATTTTTTTTATATATCTATATATTATTATTATAACAAATGCTAAAACCTTCATTCCAAAGTTTAATATTGGTTCCATTGCCACCACTTAGTGGATGTTTGGCTTAGAACAACTTTTCTTTTTCGTTGTTGCTTTATTTGGAAGCACTCGACCGAGTTTAGTTTGTAATTGTTGGAGAATAACTGCTGATTTTTTTTTTTTTAATTTTTTTTTAGCTGTTTTGAGTTGATTGCATGAATGAGTCACTGCACACAACTCAATATGAAACTATTTAACTTATTTATTATCTTGTGAAAAGTATGCATTGGTAATTTGTTCATACTGTATTTATCGGGTATGATGAAAAGCAATAGATATATATTCTTTTATTATGTTTAAATTATGATTGCCATTATTAATCGGCGAAATGTGGAGTGTGTTCTTTTCACAGTAATATATGCCTTTTTGTAACTTCACTTGGTTATTTTATTGTAAATGAGTAAAATTCTTAATTTAAGAGATTGTATGTAATATTTATTTCATTAATTTCTTTCCTTGTTTACGTAAATCTGAAAGATTGCATGGTTTCTGTATAGAAATCGGTCTCGATGCTGTGGAAGTAGTTTGAGGAATTTCTATGGGATTTTTTTAGAATGTAAATGGTTGTAGCCCGTCCGAGTAGAAGAAAACCAACAAGAGACTGACTTTTGGCAATCAGACTTCAAAGTGGCGAACCTGATGCAGCCTCGTTCCAAGTATAACCAAAAAGTGTTCCTCGTTGCCTAACTCCACCACTCACACTGTGATGTAGTCTCAACGGATGTAGCAATAATTGGGGTGCCCAGTATTATGCCTCACAGTGCCTTCTGGAGGGTCCACGCTTGCCTTAAATACTTCTCAACCAAATGAGTATTTCTCTTAATGCTTGAGGTGATAATTTGAATGTAGGGATGGGTTTTGACTACAGCAAAATTTCACCACTCTTTATTTTGTAAGAATGGCGGCCATCTTTGGATCTGAAACTTTATTCACAAGCATATCTTGTTTAATTGAATTCCAAAACATGTAATATTTTTTTTTTTCTTATGTAGAAAGTCGGGAGTTTTCCAAAACTTTCCTGGACGGTGGATGAATGAGCGGTAGCTTAGTTTTGTTTGTACATAGGTACAGATTGAGCACTATGTACTCTTTTGGACTACTTTAACAGAAGTATGTTTTGAATGTAACTAAAGGATAAGTCAACTTGAGTTGTAATATATTTTTCGGGAGTCAGTTCACTACAAATTGTGTGAGACTGTAAACTTTGTACTGTAAATGTTTTGTAGTTCTCCCAATAAAATTTTTTTGGAAAAAAAAAAAAAAAAAAAAAAAAAAAAAAGCAACACCACCAGCCCCTCACCCTTCCTTGCCTGCAGGGTGGCCCTGTCCTGCTCCCCATTGCTCTCAGTCTGGCTACAGATTAACCAGCACACTCCTGCAGCTAGTGCTGGGCAGCGGCCAAAGCTAATATGCTGTTCCAGAATGTTCGGCCTTGCGAGTGCTGCTGGGGTGCTTTCTCCTGCTTCCCTTTTTTTTTTTTCTTTTTTTTTTTTTTTTTTTTTTCCCTGCTTTCTTTTTAGGTCAAGGGTAGAGGATTTGGCCTCTGCTGCGTGTTACCTTTGCAGTTGGAATGGAAAAATCTAGTAATGGCATTTATAGCTGCTGGGGACATGCTGGTACCCTTCCCACTTGTTTGGGCTGAGGAGGAAGTGGCAGGGCAATAAAAAGGCATCATTAAGATTCACCCTTTGTCCCAAATCCACTCTCCTCAGCAGCAGGATCCAGAAAGGGATGAGGACTTCTGCCTCACCGCTCCCCGGGCTGGGGCTCAGCAGTGCTAATCGGGCTGGTATTAAACATGGTAATCAGTGTTCAGGGCTTGAGTTTTTAAAGAAATTGCCTTTCTGGGGGCGTGTTTATATAACAAAATGCTCGGTGGCCTGGGGATTGCGTGTGTTAATGCTGGAGGGATTTTCTTCACTAATAGCTCTGCAGTTTGGTTCCTTATTCCAATCAACCCCTTCAACTTTAAGTCATGGTTTCTACAGGCTTACTTTTGTTCTTTTGTCATACTAATAATAAATGTTGTTAACGTTATGGCATCTTTGCGCTGTCTGGACTGCCGCAGTACTTTCTATAAATACGAGGCAGAATGTAATACGGGTGCCATATGTTTGTGTAACAAACCTTGGGCTGACTCCGGGTTTAAAATTAAAACAAACGTAAGCGATGTATGACAACACAGCCCTGCCACAGCAGCCAGCCTTTTTCATTGGGTCAGCCCGATAGGTTTTGCCTGGGATTGGCCCTTTTTTACGGTTAGTCCGATGGGATTTGCTGGGGATTGCTTTCTTAGCAGTTCTGGAGGAGCTGCTCTCAAGGCCCCCCGGTGCCTGCAGGAGGGGCCTTGCTGCGGTTGCAGCTCAGCTGGGCCGATGTCCTGACTCGCTTTTGGGATTTGGAAACAACTTGCTGAGCTATGAGTGGATTAGCTGGGAGTGCACACCCCGTGGAGTTGCGGGATTTTTCTTTACCAAGGTGCACTTTTTGCTTTAGCCCACCTCTTCCCCTGCACTGCCTCTCCAAAGCAGATCAAGATCTCCCGTACTGCTGCCCATGGTGTATGTGGGATGGTGGCATCTACCAGCTCCATGCCCTCACCTCCCTGCGACCTCCTGGCGGCCCTGGCTCAGGGTGATGGCGCGGGCACTGGTGCAGGCTGCGCCCTGAGCTGCTGCCCTACATCCCGCCTGTTGTGTAGGGGAGGAGGCTGCCGGGATGTCCTGGTGACCGCTCGTCTAAAGCCAGGGCTACATGTGGGACAGCAGGCCCAGGCACACTGTGCTCACAGGCCCGTCCTCTTGTACCCTGTTTTGTTTATATCTCTGCAAAAGCGTGTTTCCAAATGATCCATTACAGTGTTGTGTGCTGCTGCCCAGAAAGCCAGAAGTCCTTGGACTGGGAAGATAAGTGTCTGCTTCTTGTGCTGTGCAATCAAGTGGTGACCTTTAAACCGGTGACTTACACTGTTGACTTAAGCAAAAGCTCTGTTGCTTTCATTTCAAAAGTCAGCGAAGCATGTGAAGCTGGCCAGACCATTCAGAAATTTCCTGATACCTCGCAATAAATCAATACAGTCTGCATAAAAATAAGACCTATGGGCTGAGAAGGAGCTTCAAGGTCTCTGCTATCGCACGCTGGTTAGCTGGGACACTTGCAGTCCTGTTGGCTGAGCAGTCTTTTGTACTTGCTTCAGTTTTGATCTGAAAGAAATTGCAGCAAAGCCACATTCACAGAAATGCAGGTAGTGGTATAGATCTTGGAAAGGGAATTGATTTAAGATGACATGATCACTGTGGGGTTTTTCAATGTGCTGAGTCAGCAGTTCTGTTTCTTTTTATCCCTAGTCTTCTCCATTTCTCTGTTTGCTGTTGTCTGTGCGTGGTTGGTTGGTTGGTTCCTTGGTTTGTGTTTCTCAGGTGAAGAGAGAGTGGTGTAGCTCCAGTGTCCTTACTTTCTCTTGGCGTTCCATCTTGGTTCCTGACAGAAGTTCAGAGAAAAATTAAACTTGATTCAGGACACATCTGCATGGATTGCTCAACATGGAAATAGTTCCCAGCGGTATGCCACAGAGCACAGGCATGCTGCTCTTCACTTGGTGCATCTTGGCCCTAGCTTAAGTGCAGTTTGCTTGACGATTTATCCCCACTTCAGGTGTAGAAGCTCAAATTCATGGCATGTTCCACGTAGCCTGTTGAAATGACCACATCACTGGGGCAGTCAGCTCTAAAGTATATTTCAGATGCAGAATGCTGCAAACCAGAGCTTCAGTGGTTAATACATAAGAGGGTACAAGCCCTTTTTTGGAACATCATTTAAACATCTGGTGCAACTCTTCCAATACTTTGAAATGTAAATTGTTGTCTCTCTGCCATTTTCAGCCCTCATCCCCTATCCCATCCCTTATTGCATTGCATGCCACCCATTAGATCTTTCAACACATTTTGGAGTGTGCAGCTTGCATTTAAAAAAAAAGAAACTGTGTGCACCTGAAAGTCTCATTTTCAAAGAAGGCCCAAAATTTCATTGTTATGGTCAAGGTATGCTTGGTTTTCTTATGCCATTTTGCTAGAATAGTATTAAAGCTAAGGGACTCGTACTATGAGTTTTTAATCATTTGTCCTTGTCTGTTCTTGCTGGCCTTGAGAGTGAACCTGGCTTGACAGAGTGGCTGTGTTCTGTCATGGGTCAGGTGGGACATTGCAGGTTTTGCCTGTTGAGCTCACAGAGCATGGCAGCACATTAGCTCTGGACACTGAAACCTCACGTCGTGATGCTTCGGCTTAGGCTCACGTTCCTCAGTGCTTTAAGGCAAAGATACTGGACTTTCCACCTTGTTCCATTTGCAGTGAAGTTAGATGTTGCCTTTGGCTGATGATGAAGCTGTTTGGTGTCTGCCCAGGAATGGGCAGATGTGGCAGCTAGAGGCAGGACCATCCCCACAGGGTGGCCACAGCCAACTCTGTAAGTGCTCATCTGCTGACATTATTGGAAGGTGACTCGAGGTGGTGTAGCAGGCTGCCTCCACCAAAAGAGAGCAATTTCTTTTCCTGTCTGTCCTCTTCTGACACGTTTTTACTGAACTGGTTCAGATTGCTGATCCAGAGTCTTGCACCCTGCTGGCAGCTTGCATGGT